ACCAGTGATCTTCACCGCCGACAGTCTGTTTTCCATCCCATGCCATATCCTCACCTCTGTGTGTAAATTCAATTCAGGTGCCACCTCTCCAAAGGCCAGGAACCCTGAGCAAAGCTCAGGTGTGTCCACGCCCTGCCCTGCATGTGCGTTTTTGACCAAGATGGGGGTGTAACCAAGAGGCTTGGACAATTGGAGGCCCTGGACCGAACAGAGACTGTTTTCAATTATGGAATGTAATTAACAGTTTGCCAGGCAGTGCCCTTCAGAAAAGGTCCTTCCAGACCTGCTCTAATGAATCACCAAGCCACGGGTGTATTCCTGGTGCTCAAGTTGGGAAGCTCGGCCAAAGGCCTCCAAAGTAATTAGTCCACTTAAGAAGGCTAAACGGTTCTCTAGCAATCTGGTTTATGCTTCAACGGGTTTCAGGGCTTAGAAAATGAAGTCACAGCAGCCCGAGCTCAGTGGAAGGAGTTCCATTCCTCGGATTCAATCCACACCCTCCGCTCTTTGCTTCCACTAAGCCTGGCAACTCAGCCTGAGTCCTGCTCTTCCCAAGACCTTTCTGAGGGGACATGTTAGGGCTTTTGGAGACACCAGGCAGTCTCTGTGCAGAGCCCCCCTCCCAGGAATTGATGGAGGGGGAATGAAGAGATGCCAAGGCTGCGAAGGCCACACCCTCAGCCAACCCTGCCTGGTCCTGTTCATTAGCTTAAACTGCAGAAGGAGCGGCCAGACCTTCAGCTGCCTTGGGCAGCTTGGACAGTCACAGGAAGTCAATTTCAGCAAAGAGGCCAAAGAAACTGCATGTTCCCACCCTGGAAGGAAACAACTCTCCCCTGCACCCCTCGCTTCGGCCCTGTCCTTTCAAGAATCAGGAGGGACAGTTTTTGTGCCAAACAAGGAAGACAGGCACTAGCCTCCACCATCAGATTCTCTCCTCCCCCCACCCAGCTCATTCTTCTCCTCTGGGAGCTCAATGAGGGGCAAGGAGGCAGAGGTGGGGGAAAAGCAGCAGCCGCCATTTCTTATCGGCCTGCACAGGTCCAAATCCCCATTCCTAAGCTGTCCGTTCCTTTAGCAACATGTCTGAGGTGCCTGCTGCGTGCTGGGTACTGTTCTGGGCGCTCAAAATGGAACAGTAGTAGGCCAGGAGCTTGGAAATCCCCAGCTCTGTAGAGCTGACATGTGGCAAGGTAAATACTGACACCAGAATCTGGTCGATGGTAAAAGGTGATCAAGGAGACCAAAAGGGGGGTATGTGAGATGTATGGGGGAGACTGAGACCCATAAAAACTTCATGATGGGAGGCACAGGTGTCAGGATCTGAAGAACTCATGGGGTATAAGAAAAGAGCGTGGCTGGGTAGCTCGTGCAAAGGCCCCGAGGAAGGAGGAGCTCCAGGTGCACTGGACAGGGTGGTAGGGAGACAGAGGGAACAAGTAACAGGAGGGGAGGTCGGCCATCCAGGTAAGGGATGTCAGAATGCGTGAGCTTGGCGGGCCCTGGAAGGCCCAGGTCTACTTGCAACCGCCGGACAGCTTTGGGCACAGAAAGGACAGAATGTGATGGGCTTGCAGCAGGACCCTGCCAGCAGCTGCATGGAAGGAGACAGAGGGATCTGGATCTCGTGCACCTCCTGAGGTCACTGTGGCTCAAGAGGCCCTTTCCACTACACCTCCCTGACAAGGGACAGAGGCACACAGCGGGATCTGAGCACTGGAAACCGACCCAGGCTGGAAAAGCGTGGCTTGCAGTGGGGTGTAGAAGCCAGGCTGAGGAGTTGGGGCTTGATCCAAGCAGAGGAGAAGCCGGGGAAGATTTCTGAGTAGGGGTCCCCTCACTGAAGCTGCTCACATTAGCCAGAAACATGGGAGGGAGACACAGGGTGAACAAGGGAGCCCCACCCCCGGCACCAAGGGGAGCAGTGTGAGCCTGGATTCCTCCCTTTGTGCCCGGGGCATCCCCAAGGACAGGTTATGTCTCCTCACTTTGGGGGACCTTGAGAACAGGACTGCTGTGATGACCAATTTTGCCATCTTGATTGGGTTAAGAAGAGCCTAGGAGAAGAGCGAAGTGCAGCCCTGGATGCCTGTGAGGTTCATTTCTAGAGGCGTAATTAGATGGCTTAATCACTGACGGAGTCAAACTTTGAAAAGACTCTTAGCAGGAGGTGCAACTGTGGAACGTGGGTCCTGGCTGGAGGAAGAGGTCACTGGAGGGCATGCTCTTGGGGGCTACATTGTTTTAAATTTTTTTAATATTTATTTATTGGGTTTTTTTTTTTTTTTGAGACAGGGTTTCCTCTGTGTTTAGGCTGTGGAATGTTACTTTAACAACGTGAAGGTGTGTTACATTTGTTTACGCTGTATTTGTTTAACAATGTAAGAATGTGTGTTTAATTATGAAAAGATGTGTTGGCCCGGCTGCGGTGACTCATGCCTTTAATCCCAGCACTTGGGAGGCAGAGATGCGTGGATCTCTGTGAGTTCAAGGTTAGCTTGCAGAGTGAGTTCTGAGACAGGCTCCAAAGCTACTGAGAAACCCTGTCTTGAAAAACCAAAAAGGTTGCATTTGCTTCACCTTGCCTGCCTAAGGCACCTGATTGAACTAATAAAAAGCTGAACAGTCCATAGATAGGCAAGAAAGGATAGGCAGGGCTGGCTGGCTGGCTGGCTGGCTGGCTGGCTGGCAGAGAGAATAAGGAGGAAGAGAAATCTAGGAACAAAGAGGAATGACAGGGAAAGAGAGAGACACCTGGGGTAAGACACCAGGCAGTCATCAGACACTAGAAACAGTGAATATAAAATATACAGAAGGAGGGGGCTGGAGAGATGGTCCAGCAGTTAAGAGCACTGATTCTTCTTCCAGAGGTCCTGAGTTCAGTTCCCAGCAGCCACATGGTGGCTCGCAAGCATCTATAATGAAATCTGGTGCCCTCTTCTGGGGTGCAGGTACACATGCAGGCAGAATACTGCATATGTAATAAATAAATAATCTTTAAAAAATATATACAGAAGGAAAGAAAAGCAAAAGGTAAATAAAGAAAAAGTTAATTTGAGTTAAAAGAGCCAGAAATGAGCCTAAGCTAGGCCGAGCACTCATAAGTTTGTGTCATGACTTGGGAGCTGGTTGGTGGCCCAAAAGAAAGCCTGGTACGGCTGGGTTAAAAAGTAATAGACTCATTAATCTGGTGGAGGAAACATTAAGACAGCACTGCACTCAGGCTATGGCGTGGACACGCCGGCTGCTTTTTAGCCAAGCTCACAGGGAGAGCTAGAAGAGCAAGAAGCAGGCAGAGAGACCTGAAAACCACAGCACAGGCAGAAAAGAAGCATGTCTGAAGCCATGGATCAGGAAGGTGTAGTGTTAGAGAGATTCCAATACAGTCCCACAAAGAAGCCACACAAAATGTGGGGACAACAGGGAGATGCCTTGAGGGTCCCCACCATGGCAGGTGAAAGCTTATGAACCCATAAACTCACCTGAAAGACTTGAGGTGCCTGAGGCACGGAATGGGGGCCTAGGAAGTTGTTTCTACAGTAATCCACCCAGAGTCCACTGTGGCTGGTCCAACAGGACCCAGCCAATACTCATGTGGGCAGCTGACCTTGGTGTGGGCCGTGTGAAGCTGTTGTCATTGGCATTCAGAAGGGTGACAAGATCACGGAGGCTTGCGCCCAGGTTTCAAAGGAAAGCCCATGAAGCCGAGCAGTGTAGGGCCAGGTCTGAGTTCCTGTGAGCAGCCCTGGAGAGGGTGGTTATGAAGTTGAAACAGTGGCGCTTGACTGACCCCAGGATGCTGGAGTTGACAGAAACGTGGGGCGTCTGCTGAGGAAAACTCAGGCAAGGAAGCAGACATAGTCTGAGAGAGGTCGTGTGGCTGCAAACAGCAAGACCGTGAGAGAGGGCTCTGTCATCAGGTGCACGGAGCCTACAGGACCTAGTGTTCACTTTGCTGGGTGGCTCTGGTGGTCTTGCTTTGGCCTGGACCTTTTTTGCTCTTCTCCCACCCTCCAGTTTGAAAGGGAATGTGTACTCTGGGCCACCATATCTTGAAAACGTGTTAACTTGTGTTTTGTTTTTCCCCACACAAGTTTACAGCTGGGAATTGCCTTGAGTCTCTTGTTGGGACTGTTAATATGGAGGCTGCGGAGGATGAACTAGATGTGAGCCTTTTGGGGGTCGGGGTATATTTTCAGTAATTAACGCTGTCAGCTTAACGGATTGAGAAGCAGGTAGGTAATTGGCAAAGTACATTTCTTCTTCCTTGTCTTCTTTCTCCTCTTTTATTGATACAGGGTCTCTCTCTGTAGTCTTGGCTGTCCTAAACTTGCTCTGTAGACCATGCTAGCCTTGAACTCACAGAGCTCCTCCTGTCTCTGCTCCCCAAGTGCCCATATTTAAGGTGTGCACCCCCACAAACGCTGAAAGCACATTTCTATGTATGTGTGTGGCGGGGGGAGTTCCCAGGGATTATTAGTTAGATGATGAAGGTTCTGATTTAATAAACAGATTTTTTTTTCTTTTTAATGAGAGGTTTAACCCCCTGCATTCAGATTTTGTATGGAATGATGGCGGTGGGGCTGGAGTAGAGGAAGCAGGCCAGTGGGGCCATGTCCCTGCGTGCTCTGTCCTTCCTGGGTATTTCCTCCATCCTCCGCTTCCTGTCTTCCATGAGGTAAGCAGCTTCCCCTACCACGTGCTCCCCCAAACAAGTGTGCGGGGCCAAACAACCATGGTTAGCCCCTCCAGAATGTGAGACCACGTTCATCTTTCTTCCTTTAAGCTGTTGTCTCGGTTACACAAAGCAGCTGACATAGTCGCGACTCCGCTCTGGCCAGAGCTACCCAAGGACAGGCATGGCCTGCTCTGCCTTTGATCTCTGTGCCTTCTGCTTGCCCTGCCAGCCTTTGGTACTCGGGTAGAGTACCTACAGAGGGTTCACTCTGAGGGCAGATACAGCGTTGGTGCTTCCTAGGTGGGGAAGGGGTGGCACCTACCTCCCGCCATTGCTTGTTCTCCATTCCTTGAGTGTACATGACACACACTGGGGAAGAGAAGGAAAAACATGAGTTAAGATCCCAGGCCAAGAGGAAAGTCGAGGGTCAAGAACCTCAGACTGAGTTGTTCTGTTGGGTCTGGGGAAAGGGCAGGTATCTGTCGAGGCAACTGGGGTCTTGGTGAGCCGAGGGTAAGAGCCCGGCCTCCAAACCTAAACCACAAGTAGCTTTGTTGTTTCCGTGGTACTTTGACATCCAGATCCTTGGACAAGCACCCTACCATTGAATTACATCTCCAGTCCCACAATGGGTCTCTTTCTCCACAATAACCGGCAGTTGGCTTGGCAAAGAGGCCTAGGACCTCAGCGTGACTTGTAGGGGGGATCTCAAGTGCTGACCATTTCTACACCATAGAAAGGCTCCCAGGTGTGAGACACGTGAACAGGTGGGCGTGATGGAGGGCTGAGTGGCAGGCGTGGTGAGGATGGCACCTGAGACACTTTGTCCCTTCAGATCCTGTTACTGTCACCAGGTCCTCTTTACTGATGGGGAAACTGAGGCTCTGCAGAGGCCAAAGCCCCATCCAAGATCATGTTCGTGGCCAGCACTGCTCAGGACTGGAGCACAGTCCTCCCAAACCCATGCTCGTTCCCCCAGACCGCAGTCAACATAAGTGTGCCACTTCCCACAGGGACAGAGGCCTTTTTGCCCTAGGCTCCCCAACACCTCCCGAGATGCTCTGAGGTGCTGAGACCTCACGAGTATGGGAGCAGAACAGGGCCAGCTCCTCAGTTCTTTGGACACCACCACGCAGCGCTCTCCAGCGCTGACTCAGTGGCCCCTAGGCCTGCACAGCTCCAGCCCTCAACAAGAGCTGCTGGTGGCCTCTGTCACTAGTCACCAGGCCACTGTGTCACTGGGATGATTGTTGCTGTGGGAGCAGGACTTACGTGGATCAGACTTGGAAAACATGTCTTTGTCCAAGAGGTTCCTGAAAGAGGGGAGAAAGGAGAAATTAGTCGGGATGGAGGAGACAGGTGAGGCCTAGGCCTGGAGACGGCCTCTGGCCCAGACTTGGACACGATGGAAAGGGAAGACAGGTCCCTCAGCACACTTGATCAACTTCACTAAATGCCAGGAACCACACAGGGTGCCACATGTCTGCCACCTAAGCACTCAGGTGGAGGAAAGACAAGAGACTAACGGGTTCCAGGCCAGCCTGGGGCAATATAGTGAATTAGAATAGCCTGGGCTATATGCAATCCTGTCTTTAAAAAAAAAAAGAAAAGAAAAAGAAAAGAAAAAGAAAAACTCAGAAGCTGAGAGGCCCTGAGGCGACTCCGGTCCAGCTTCCCTAAGATTCAAAGTGCTCCCCCCACCACACCACAGCCACAGGTTCTCCAGATGGCACCACGGTGCCCTGGACCCTGGTGTTTCTCACTAATCCTCAGTTGGCCTCAGATACCAGCCCTTTTCAAACATTTCCTTGTTGTGGAATATTTTAACTGGACAAAGTTGTGTTACATTTGTTTGTGCTGTCTTTGGTAACTGTGGAAAGGTGTGTTACATTTGCACTAATTAAATAAAACTAACCTGGGCTCAGAGAGGCGGGGTTAGCAACCAGTTGACAGGAAGCAGCAGGGAGGAGCTTAGCATGGTTTTCTTTTAGTTGGGGTGTTGTGGAAGGGAGCAGCTTCAGGGGGCAGCAGCAAAGAGAGAAAGTTAGCCAGTTGCTAGTCTGTGTCTCTGAGCTCGCAGGCTTTCACCCCGGCCTTTGAATCTTGAGTTTTATTACAACGAGAGAGATGTCATTAGAACTGCCTTTAGCGGTAACAACAGAGGCATTGTCTGGGGGTCAGCACTGGCTGGGTGTTGTCCCAGTCGAAAGGAAGAAGCTGAGTTGGGGAACCATGTCCTATATAGTGTTTCCCTCTACAGCTGCCACCAGGAAGCTACATAGCCCAATGGAAACTGTCTCCAGTGGATCAGGGATCCATCCGTTCTGTCCTAGAGGCTTGTCAAGCATTGCCTTTCCCCCAAGCCCCTGGAACTCTAGGACGCAGAGGCTGTCCTTCATGTTACCTGCTCACTTCTGAACAGTAGTCCTGATGCAGGACAGTACAGTCAAAGGCAGCAATAGCTAGGGCATACGTGGCCAGCCTCCACCATCCCTGGTGACAGCCTCCTACAGGCTGGGGGGCAGAGCCTGGACAGATTCCTCCAAGGTCTGAGTCTCATCCAAGTCTGGGGGGCTCAAGTTTAGACATTGCTAGGCGAGTGAAAGAAAGGATTACCCCTAGGTTTCAGCCTAGAAGAGAGGTGGGGAAAGGGGGAGGGAGAGAGGCGGAGGACCAACAAATGGACTTCTCCGTTTTGTAGCTGAGCCGTAGGCACACAGACTAAGAATCGGATGTAGGGGATGTAGCTCGGTAGTAGAGCGCTTGCCTAGCATGCACAAGGCCCCATGTTCAACCAACAGTACTGCACTAACAAAGAACCCACACATGGTTCCTGGCTCCGGTGATTCCCTGTCCCACCGGTGATCCCAGCACATGGCACGCTGAAGCAAGAGGACGTCCACCAACTGGAGGCAGCCCTGGGTTTAACCCAGAGCAGAACAGCAAGGGCTGTGCAGGGTGACACTCAGAGCGTCCTCACACTCCCCACCCCACTTAGCTACAGACAGACAAACTGCATTTTGTGCAGAGGTGATCTGGCTATCTCATGCCTCGGTTTCCCCGGTTATAAAAAGGGGCTCAGTATAGTCCAGGGCTGCTCAGATGGATAAAAGCATATTAACTGGGACTTACAGGTTGGTCCTCAGGCTCACAAGGTAGAGTCATAGCCACCTGCACCCTTTCTGGTCCAAGAAGCCAGACCCAACCCTGACCTGAAGAGGGAATATCTCATCATCTGAGCCTGACCCCCAGTTTTGGCTCCGCCTCCTGCCCCCATTGGCTGTGAGTACTCTTGCCTGGGTTCCCATCCTGATCCCCTCCCTGATGCCACCCATTGTCCCACTTTGTCCCTGGAGTGGGGTGCGTGGTTAAGCCATGGGCTGCTCACTCCCTGGGGCTCACTTCACTTCCCAGGGATAAAAAGGCAGGCTCTTGGGGCCCTTCCCAGAGACTGGCTTTGTAGGTCTGGAGTGGGGCGAGCTCATATTTAACTAGCTGTTGTCCTACCCACCAGCCCCCTCTGGGGTCAAAACCCTTTGTCTTAGTGCCTTGGTGTCCCATTGGACAGCAAAGACCCCAGGGCCCCTTGCTGGGCCCCTGAGAATCCCTCACAGTTGCCAGGTCCCCGCTAACCCTCACCTACCCCACTGAGAACTTCTGGCTCAGACAGAGGGAGCAGCCTGCCCAGAGGCACACAGCCAGAGTAGCCTGGAGACCAGGCCTTTAGCTCTACACAGAGCCCCAGCCACCGGGGCACTGACCAGACCAGACCAGACTAAACCAGATCTTAAGTGTTTTTTCTCTGCTTTCTACTTTGGGAAAGCTCAAAGAGGGGGGAAAAAATCCCCCAACAGTCAAAATGTATTTTTCCCCCAAAAGAGCATAAAATCCTTCAGCTGTCTGCTCAGCAGCCTGGAGCTTCGCCTCTTTTGTTCCTTAAACCGAGGCTGGAAAAGCAGAGTCAAGGCCTCTGCTTCCTGCCACCCCCAAGGACTCATTTCCAGCTCAGGAGGTTGGGAGAAACAGTACCAGGCTGTGTGGCCCTCCCAGCAGAAGGTGATGGAGGACCCTCCCTAAGGAGCTGGGCAGTGACACTTCCCAGCACAGGGGCCCCAAGGGAAATGGGCGGGGCTGAGGCAGAGCCCCAGTCTGAGGGGAACACCCTGCCCTTGCCTGAGCTGTGGGTGAGGTAACTACATCCCCTGGTTCTCTCTCATGGATGCACTGAGCTTGCTCTTGGCTGTAGCTGAGAAAGTACATTAAGAACCTGTACTTCAGCTATTCCTGGCCCAGGGTCCTCGACGGGGACCACGAACCCCTGAAACTAAGCAAACTGATGTTGGTCCGTGTGTATTGGATGCAAGTTTGTTGCTGCTGCTGTTGCCCAATTCTCAAATTAAACCGTAAGGCTGCAAAAGTTAGGAGGTGGCTAAACCTGTGAGTGTGAGGCAGGAGAATCATAAGTTCGAGGCCTGTTTGGGCTACCTAGTGAGTGCAGGGACAGTATGGCAACTTAGTTGTCTCAGAAGAACATCAATCAAAAGGGTTACAGTTCAGTGGCAGGGCACTCACTTGGCATGTGCAAGGCCCCAAGTTCAATCCCCAGCGGAGGGAGGGAGGGAGGGGAAGGGAGGGAGGAAGGGAGGGAGGGGAAGGGAGGAAGGATTCTCTGAGCTGGGAACAGTGGTACACACAGGGAATCCTAGCACTTGGAAGGCTGAGGCAAGATAGCAGCCAGTATGAGCCTGGCCTCTAGTGCTTAGGGACAGATGAGTTGACACCAGGTAGCAATGACAGACGCAGAGAGAGCCCGGGACCTGAGAGCACATGGACATCACCTTGTTTTCTCAAAATCAACTTCACATCAAACATCTAGTCAATGGAGTGGATGGGGGTGTGACCACTCACACACAGGCCAGATCCCTTGTCAGGCACTCAACCCGGGACACTGTTCACATCCCAAGAAGGGACAGATCTGGAGCTGCCCAGGAACACCCGTGTCACAAAACTTGGGCTCTCCCAAGCCCACGTGGGCTACCTGTGCCCTGTCCATCCCACTGATGCAGTAGAGAGGAGTGGCAGGACATCCATATCCTCCGGCCCTCACAGGAGGAAGGAGGACCTGAGTGTCTGACACCCACCGCTGCCTCCACATCCCACTCATTCCCTGCCTGGCTGTGCCATCTCCCTGCCAAGCAACCATGCCAGCTCTAAGAGCAGTTCTCACAAGGTGCCCAGAGAGATTTCTAGGGCTGGCAGTGTTTTTCTGCTGGGAGATATTGGCGTAATTGACCCTGGCAAGATGCAGGGTCAGGGGAGAAAGCTGTGGTCTCAGAAGCTGCCAGGTTAAGTTACCCTGGAAAGTCTCCCCACATTTCAGCTTCTTATCGGTCCATGAGGGTCACCCCTTTGCTTCTCAGAATAGGTGTGAGCCACCAGCCACCAGTTTACACCAGAAACCAGAAGAGGCCCCACCCTCTCTTCCCCTGGTGCCACTCCTGTTCCACCCAGTGAGCTCGAGCCACTTCCCACCCTCCCCACGCCACCCTCTCCCCCCTCCACTTGGCCTGCCTAGCAACACATCTATTTCCTGATGTACCCACTCCTCACCAGTCTAGGGTCTGCTCAGCAACCAGAGGTGTGTTCGTAAAGGTTAATCCTAACCACCACTTAACAAGATCCATCCCCCAATGCTGTGAGAACAATAAACCAAAGCTCCTTCCTGGGGCCCCCAAGCTACGACCGGCTCCCTGCTGATCTCATCTGTGCACCCCGACTGACCGCTCATACTCTTCCAGCCACACTGACCTCCGTGTCCTACAAGCAGAACAAGACCTCTCCTGCCCCTTGAATCTCTCTTCTCCATGTTCCTCTTGGGTCTCAGTCCCTGTCACCTGCCTCACCATCTGGAGCGACTGAACTTGCCTGCTGACAAACTCATGGATGTTATCTGCCTAATAAAGATGCACATAGGATAGAATTAGTGGAGTATGCCTTTAATTCCAGCACTTGGGAGGCAGAGGCAAGTAGATCTCTGTGAGTCTGAGGTCAGCCTGGTCTATGTAGAGAGTCCCAGGACAGCCAGGGCTACATAGTAAGACTCTCTCTCAAAGGACAGAACAAAAATGTTCACAGCTGGACATGGTGGTGCACACATGTAAGCCCAGCACCTGTGAAGCTGAGGTGAGAAGATGGAGGTGGCCTTGTGAGAACAAGGTACACACTGCAGACTGTCTCACAGAACCAGTGAGGCATGGTGCCCAACGGCAGAACAATTGCTAGGGAAACTGTCAGGCCCTAGGGTCTACCGCCA